GTACGGCCTTGGCAGCTGTCAAGAGAAAGGACCCACAGCACTGCGCAGCTTCAGCTCGACTCAGCTGCTTGGCCCTCTGGTGCGACTTCGCCGCACAAATCCTACAGAACATCCCCACACGCCTCAGGCCTTTCAGGCCTTTGAGGCCTTTGGCTTCTTGTGGCCCTTCACTCTTTGAGCCAACTGGCATTGGGAGGTTTGGGGAAGGATATCAAGAATCCACGCGCGGTGCACGTGTGAACCGTTTCTGGTGGCACGCGCTGCCTCCAGAACCACCTCAAATTGGTAGCGCAACAATGCGCAACACGCACATAACTCCTGGCGCCACAAGCCCAGTCTCCAGCCACGAAGCGTGAGGTCCGCTCTCCGAGGACGTTCAGCACCCTGGCCAGGCCCCAAGCGATTGCGGTGCAAGTTTTCAAGCACAACCAACGGCCATTACTGTGTAGACCAGGATAAGGACACCAAACTTCCCATGCCGCATCCTTCCTGAAGATCTGCTGACTTCAAAATTCTCAAGCGCTTACATAGTACCCAGCAAACCTGTGTCGGGCCCTGTCAAAATCTATCACGCGCCGTTCGCCGTTTCAGACTTTGTAAGCTGCAAACTAAATCCTAGCCCGGCTGTAAATTGGGAGCCTTGGCTTTCGCGTTTATCGATCCGCTTGACAGGGATTGGGTGCTAAGTTAGGAGACGCTGCATTTCAGTGCTGTACTTGTCACGAAGATTGATATCCCGCCCACCATGAACGCTTCCAGGCCTTACACTTGCCAGCTACCCTGCACGACATCGTTCAGGCCCTCTGATAAGAAACATGTACTCAGCAGGAACGAGACCAAGCCTCGCCAGTCAAACGAACAAGCAATCCGGTTCGTGTCGCTTCTACCTCTCTGATTGAGTGTCGACCACTTCGCCCGCATACACAAGCATTGTTGCACTGCTCCTTCTAGTGGCACTTGTAGGATCTACAAGTGCCGCTGTGGATTGCAACTTATAAACAGGGCCAGGCGGCCAGCCTGTCAGGGGCAACTTGATCAGATCGGCCACTCTCTCGTCCAGAGCCGCCACAAACCAGGTGCGCGAGCTCCAACATTTCTTGGAGCGTCTGGCGCTGGTGCGAGGACCAACACCTTGGAGCTTCGTCGCACAATTTTCTGGGGTGGCAAGGGGAGCGGATGACTAGTGACTAGTTGGGGTCTTTACCACGGCGCCGTGCTCAGTGTGGCCAACCAGGCAGACATCTTCTGGGATGCGGCAGCATTGAACGCCAGGTCAGGGGACAGCAGTGTTTGTCGTGCAAAAACCTCAAAGCCACAGACATGTCTCGAGTGACCATCGGCACCCTGCACAACCTGCACAGCTTTGAAGCACTTTTGCTGCACGAAGACCTCCCAGGCAAGATGAGTGCTGCGGCTGCTGCCGTGCAGGTCAACTCCCCATCCCACCTCCAGTTGACCTCGGCCAACGGCCGCGTGCTCGTTCCAAACGATGTCCAGCAGCCTCAAGATTTCATGCCAAGCACGTCAACCTTGCTCTGGTCTACCTTCATAGTGCTGGGGCTGCTCATGTTCAACTGCACACCTTCGTCTGTACGAAGGTAGGGGTTCTGCACCACCCGGACAGACCCAGACCGTCAGGACAGCACGCAAAGAGAACCAGAACGATTCGGGTTTGGGACCCCCTTGCCAACCCAAGACCATGGTGGCTCAGTTATGATTTAAGAGGTCCATCCTGAGGGGGAATGGCAAGAAAGCCCCGATACATCTTCTGACTGAGGGACGAGCCGAACACACGCTCACGCGTGCGCGTGCGAAGTGCCTCCTGAATTCCAGTGCCCTCTAAACTTTTCCAAAGGGAGCATTCCAAGAGAACCGCCAAGGCTTTCAAGGAACAATCTGCCCAGCTTGCGGAGCACTGCAGATGTGAAGTGGCTTCCGAAACTCCCCTACCAATGCTTGGCAGCACACAGCGCTCAACTTGGGCAAGCCTAGGGTCGGGCGGCATTCCTCCCCAGCGCCCTGTAAACCTGTGTCAACCTCTGCACCTTCGGAAAGCCTGCCAGCATGCCGCTTTGTTTTGCTTGAGATGCTCCGCGAGATCTGCACATGCATGCGTAAAGCCCTTTGCCCAACAAGATTCCCATGAGACACGCTGCCGGGTAAGACTTGCTGAGATTACAAGGATGCGACAGCTCTTCTGCGAGACCAAGCTG